TAATACATCTAGCCCTGTTAGTACATCCAGCCCTGTTAGTACATCCAGCCCTGTTAATACATCCAGCCCTGTTAATACATTCAGCCCTGTTAATACATCCAGCCCTGTTAGTACATCCAGCCATGTTAATACATCCAGCACTGTTAATACATCCAGCCCTGTTAATACATCCAGCCCTGTTAATACATCCAGCCCTGTTAGTACATCCAGCCCTGTTAGTACATCCAGCCCTGTTAATACATCTAGCCCTGTTAGTACATCCAGCCCTGTTAGTACATCCAGCCCTGTTAATACATCCAGCCCTGTTACTGTAATACACAGTCCAACTCTGGGAGAGTTTAAACTATAGCCCACACAGTGAATCATAATATTCGCCATTTAGAAGAAGCTTTGTTCCAAAGCGACTTACAGTCATGCATGCATACAGTTCACATACGGTTGGTCCCGGGAATCGAACACATTATTCTAGCGTTGCAAGCACCATGCTCCACCAACTGAGCTACAGAGGACCAGGATCAATCCACCTGAGCGTGATGACTAGTGCCAGTGTGTTTCATCTGACTCCACACCATCAAACTAGACCAGTACAGCTACAGTCAGACAATAAAACTGTATGTAGCTCTGTGAACAGCACTTAATGCTCCTGTCCCAAACTTACACACAAGGGGTTTTGGATTCGGCTTCAGGTTACCATGAGAAGACCCTGTCCGATTCGGCTTCAGGTTACCATGAGAAGACCCTGTCCGATTCGGCTTCAGGTTACCATGAGAAGACCCAGTCCGATTCGGCTTCAGGTTACCATGAGAAGACCCTGTCCGATTTGGCTTCAGGTTACCATGAGAAGACCCTGTCCGATTCGGCTTCAGGTTACCATGAGAAGACCCAGTCCGATTCGGCTTCAGGTTACCATGAGAAGACCCTGTCCGATTTGGCTTCAGGTTACCATGAGAAGACCCTGTCCGATTCGGCTTCAGGTTACCATGAGAAGACCCTGTCCGATTCGGCTTCAGGTTACCATGAGAAGACCCAGTCCGATTCGGCTTCAGGTTACCATGAGAAGACCCTGTCCGATTTGGCTTCAGGTTACCATGAGAAGACCCTGTCCGATTTGGCTTCAGGTTACCATGAGAAGACCCTGTCCGATTCGGCTTCAGGTTACCTTGAGAAGACCCTGTCCGATTCGGCTTCAGGTTACCATGAGAAGACCCTGTCCGATTCGGCTTCAGGTTACCATGAGAAGACCCTGTCCGATTCGGCTTCAGGTTACCATGAGAAGACCCTGTCCGATTCGGCTTCAGGTTACCATGAGAAGACCCAGTCCGATTCGGCTTCAGGTTACCATGAGAAGACCCTGTCCGATTCGGCTTCAGGTTACCATGAGAAGACCCTGTCCGATTCGGCTTCAGGTTACCATGAGAAGACCCAGTCCGATTCGGCTTCAGGTTACCATGAGAAGACCCTGTCCGATTCGGCTTCAGGTTACCTTGAGAAGACCCTGTCCGATTCGGCTTCAGGTTACCATGAGAAGACCCTGTCCGATTCGGCTTCAGGTTACCTTGAGAAGACCCTATACGTCTCTTAGTCAGGTCAGAAGCACATTGCTCAGACAATAACCCATTGGCCTTTTCTCAATTAGATTTGCTCAACTCCTGAGTCATCTCTCCTCCATCCACTCTGGCGTCCTTTTGAAAAAGGTCAAAGGTAATCGAGGAGAGGCAGCGAGGAGAGTTGACGAAAATGCGCTTGTATGAAATTAGACTCTCCTTCTCCAATCACGTGTCATCAAGCAAATTACGTTTACAGGGTGGAATCCCCAAATAAATGTATAAAGTGATCAAAAAAAATGTTTTACCCAGTTGTGCAAGACATTTTTTAGATAGAAGGATAAGTAGCATATCATTTTTAAATGTTTGCAAGCGTTTCTCCTTCGAGAAAACAATAGCTGATTCAAAGGGGTTGTGGCAGATTTCAAAACTCTTCTGTGAAGGACTCAGGTAGGATACACTTGTGCCTCCTCACCAAAAGGAAGCTATAGAGGAGGGAAGGACTGTCTTCCCTTCGCCTACTAATAAACTGACACACTCCTTGACCACTAATCGGTGTCCGGGTCACAGAGGAGAGAGGACAGACTTCTGCCCAAACAAGAAAACCCAATTTTCTCCCCAGTCAAGGTCTGTCTGTCCTTTGAACTCAGGATGCCATGGCCTAAGGGTGGGGGTGGAGGGGTTGTGGGGGGATGGTGTGGGAGGATTGGGATGTTGCAGGTACTGACGAAGGCTGCGTTCACACAGGCAGCGCAATTCTTATCTTTTTTCCACTAATTGCTCTTTTGACCAATCACATCAGATATTTTTCAGAGCTGATAAAAAAATATTAGAATTGGGCTGCCTGTCTAAACACAGCCTTATTTATACAAATGCCTTCTTGCACAGATTTCGCTGCAAAGCACTCCCAAAAGCTATACCACAGTATATCATTACACCACACCACTACATATCATTACACCACACCACTACATATCATTACACCACACCACTACATATCATTACACCACACCACTACATATCATTACACCAACACCACTACAATCATTACACCACACCACTACATATCATTACACACACCACTACATATCATTACACCACACCACTACATATCATTACACCACACCACTACATATCATTACACTACACCACTACATATCATTACACCACACCACTACATATCATTACACCACACCACTACATATCATTACACCTCACCACTACATATCATTACACCACACTACAGCATATCATTACACCACACCACTACATATCGTTACACCACACCACAGCATATCATTACATCACACCACAGCATATCATTACACCACACCACAGCATATCATCCGTGGTTCTTGGTAACAGTGAGGTGGATGCACACCTGCACACATGTCGTCAAGACCTGGAAAGGCTCATTTGCACAACAGGCCTTTTTCCTTCATTAACTACCCTTACTCCAATCTCTGCACTCACTCACACACACACACACACACACACACACACACACACACACACACACACAGCTGTGTGGAAGGGACTGCCGGTGCCCCTCAGGCGTCTTGGTGGAAGAGCAGCATTCTCACGCTAGGGTGATGCTAACCGTGCTACTCATTACCATAGCTCTTACATTGATCACATCCAGGAGTTCCCAGATTCCAGACGGAGGGATGAAAGTTTAGGGGAGTTGTCGCTCATTGACTTCATGTTTCTGACCTGTGGAAAAAATAAGATTCTTGGGAAAACTCAAGCCTGTTCAAATGTTATTTATAAAGCCCTTTCTACGTCAGCAGATGTCACAGTGCTATACAGAAACCCAGCCTAAAACCCCAACCAGCAAGCAATGCAGATGTAGAAGCACGGTGGCTAGGAAAAACTCCCTAGAAAGGCAGGAACCTAGGAAAAAACCTAGAGAGGAACCAGGCTCTGAGGGGTGGCCAGTCCCCTTCTGGCTGTGCCGGGTGGAGATTATAACAGTACATGGCCATTAAGGCAAGATTTTTCTCCAAGATGTTCAAACGTTCATAGATGACCAGCAGGGTCAAATAATAATCACAGTGGTTGTAGAGGTTGCAACAGGTCAGTACATCAGGAGTAAATGTCACTTGGCTTTTCATAGCCGGGCATTTAGAGGTTGAAATAGCAGGTGCAGTAGAGAGAGAGAGAGTAGAAAACAGCAGGTCTGGGACGAGGTAGCACGTCCGGTGAACAGGTCAGGGTTCCATAGCCGCAGGCAGAAGAGTGGAAACTGGAGCAGCAACACGACCAGGTGGACTGGGGACAGCAAGGAGTCATCAGGCCAGGTAGTCCTGAGGCATGGTCCTAGGGCTCAGGTCCTCCGGGAGGAGAGGGAGAGAGAGAGAAATAGTTGCCATTGCATTTTTCCACAGTCACATTCACACACAAAATAACAGAGGTAATCTTTTTTTAATCAGGCAGCATAATCAAACCACGCACACACACATAAACACACACACACACACACTTAACTGCAATGTATTCTCTGGTCTGAATACCAAGCCATAATGATAAGTGTTTCAGTGGAGCCTACATCTATGGTTATTATCACAAGCGGCAACATTGACACATAGGACGGACACAACACACATGAAACGCAATGGACTTTCCATGACAGTGTCAGAGCAGACTATGTATTAATAGCCTTCCCACAACCAGTTTCCTTTATAAGCGTCCTGTTTCTAAACATGTAAAGACAGATGGTGGGATCTGGACAGCCCAGCTCCACCTGAGGATGGTCCTGAGGATATGCTCCCAGAAGACCCACCAATGAGCTGCAGATAATGGTTGCAACCCACATCCCACCCTGTTTTCTATATAGCGCACTTATTTTTGACCAGTGCACATTTAGGGAATAGGGTGCAATTTGGGACAAAGCCTATGTATCAGTACAGACTGCAGGGGCCCACGCACAAAACATATTCACTATGGTGTTGCTGCCCTCTGCTGGTAGGTAAACATGTCAGCTCTTCAAAGGTGCCTAATCAAATCAAACAATAGAGCAGACAGGGGTGTGCATCCCAAATTACACCCTATTCCCTGCATCAGGGGTTCTCAAAGTGGGGTACTGCTGGGGGTCCGCAGCCAGACCATAAAATATTTGTTTAATGAATATTACTAACAACAAAACATGTAATGCATTTTGTCAAGTGATCCGTGGAATAGGTTTAGAGGGTGTAATACAATGCAAAACATGGACCTGGGAGGCTCACAGGGAATATTGGTATCCGCAGTACTCGACCAATTACACATTCAATTATCAAAATGACAAGCTACTCTGACATTTACATAGTGAGATCAATAAAATGAACGACCCATGTCTTAAATGCAACCAATAGCATAGGCCAATGAAAACAGTGGATACACAGGTTTTAGGCCTACAATATGAGGAGGAAAGTGGCTCTCACCTATTCCAACAGATTTTAGCCGCAATTGTATTTTGAAATATTGAGAAATACCTTCTAGCTGCTGCTGCCTGCTAATGATGGGAAGTTCGGCTCTTTTCTGAGAGCCGGCTCTTTTGACTCGGCTCCCAAAGAAGAGCCGGCTCTTTCGACTCCCGAACGGCTCTTTATTTAGGATCTTTTGTAGCCTATATTTTACCTTAACTTTGAAAAAAAATCATGGTTTATGTGTTGAAAACCCTTTTGCTTTCAGTGTTTTTATGAGAGACCTTATAATGCCTAATTCTGTGCATTTATTCTGTGACAAAACCACTCTTACATTTGTTTATTTCAATTAAACTTTTTTATTGCACAAATTAACAATAAACTTCAAACAAATCCACAGAACAGAATCAAAACCAGAACCAAACTCCAGCAAACAGCATTAGTCCTCAGGGCAGGTTGGCATTCAGGAAGATCAGATGCCTCAGCTTGGATGGGCTGATAGGCCTGATACGATTTCGCCTCTCCGTGAGTATCTGCCCTGTTTTGGAGAAGATTCTCTCAGAAGGAACTGATGTGGCAACAATACATAGTCTCCCCTCCATCACCTTCACCAGGAGTGGAAAGACTGAGGCCTTGGCCTGCCACCAGCTCAGTGGGTCTTCTGCTCTCTGGATGAGGGGCTCCTCAAGGTAGCTCCTCACCTCCATTATAGCATCAGCTGTCGGATTTCTCCTTGAAGCATCTCCTGTAGCTCTGTCATCAAAAAGCCTCCAAACAGCAGAGGTTTGCTGCTCCTCCTCCACTTGGCCCTGTAATGGTGGAGCTGGCTGGCTGCTGGGGGTGCATTTTGCTGCTGCTGCTGCACTAATCCTCTGAAGAGCTTCATCAACAGCTCTACGATCACTGAAGGCAAGTTTTTTAAACCTTGGATCCAATAAGGTAGTTTCTGAAAGGACAGTGTTGTACTCCATCCGCAGAAATTTGCGGTCCATGGCTGAACAAAGAGCTGCAACTAATTCCTTCACTTTCTGCACAGTTACTGTCCATTGGTTCTCGGCTGTCACCAGCTGCAGACCTTTGCAAAGCAGGAGCATTTTCGAGGCTGTGACATAGCTGAAGGAGAGAAAACAGCAACTTTTAGAATTTAGTTTTTTAAAAGTATGTGGCATATTATACGTGATGCATTATACTGTATGTGTTGTGTTTGCAATGTATAATAGTGACTGAATAGTAGTAGAGAAAACAATGCTTCAATGGTTCTAGGTACCTGTCTGCACTTATCTCCACAGTCACCTCCTGGAATGGTTGCAGGACGGCGCAGACCTCTTTCACCAGCTCCCATTCCTCTTGGCTTAATGGCTCAATAGATGCGTTGATGAGGGCCAGGGTGGAGATGATGGCATCTTTTATTTCAAGCATTCGTTTCAACATATCAAATGTTGAGTTCCACCTGGTGGCACACTCTTGTTTGGGCCTCAGTTCAGGAATCCCCATTTGGCGCTGTGTGGACTTTAGCTTCTGTGCTGCTACTGTGCTTTTGTGGAAAAACTCCACAACAGCCTTCACCTTATCCACGGTTGTTTTGATCACCTTCAGAGCATCTCTAACCACCAGGTTTAGTGTATGCGCCAGACATGGGTGATGGGTCCACTTCAAAACTTTTATGGCTTTGGTGATGTTTGCAGCATTATCACTCACACAGCACACCACTTTGTCCTCTACTTGCCACTCTTTTGCCACTCTTAGTAGCTCCACTGCCAAGTTTTCTGCAGTGTGTCTGTCGGTGAACTCGAAGCAGTCCAGAAGGCAAGATGTCATCTTGTAATCTTCAATAAAGTGGCAATTGACAGACATGAAAGAGCAGGTTGTTCTGGAGGTCCAGCAGTCAGTTGTCAGGCAAACTGATGGAGCTTTTGTCACCCTTTCTTGCCATAATGCACGTTCTGTGTCATATAGTTTTGGGATCATTGTTTGGGAAAGTGTTTTTCTACTGGGTAGAGTGTATGTGGGATTTAGGGCTTTGACAAAGTTTTTCATTCCTTTGTCCTCCACAATGGAAAAGGGTTGAAAATCAGAAGCTACCATTTTAGCCAACTCATCATCAATACTGTGCTGTTTGGCTGGGGTCATCAGTTTAGGTAAAAACTGACTTATTTTGCTTTGAGTTGCAGTAGGAGAGGTTATACTTGCACGCATGGGGATGGCAGTAGACGTTACAGCAGCTGTTGTTCTGGTATGAGACACACCAGGATCAGTAGATGGTGAGCTGGCTTGCCCTCTCTCCTCTAACTGCACTGTAGGATGGACAGTTCTTGTATGTCTATGCAGGTTTGTGGTGGAACCTGCTCTTATAGTGACCTTCGTTTTGCAGTGAAGGCACTCTGCTTTCTTGTTCCCAATATCTTTAAACTGCAGCCAGATGCTGCTTCGCTTTCTAGTGTCACTCATAGTTAAACGACACGACAATGCAAGACGCACACACGCTCCTCAGTCCGCTCTGTCTCTCTCTTCACTTGCAGTGGAGTCAAGTGGTGTGTCTGCCCCGCCCCCTCTCTGTTTACACATCCTTAATTCTCACGTGAATGCCGCATGCTGGTCGCCATGCTGGCCAATCATAACAGACCTCTGTGAAAGTGAAACCTAAGCAGCGAATGGGCAAAAAACTGGGAGCCGGCTCTCACTCGATGCGAGCCGGCTCTTCTGATTCACTACAAAGAGCCGGCTCTCAGAGCCGATGCTTGTGCGCATGACCCATCACTACTGCCTGCTGTTCATTGACAGCCACATGTCAACAATTAGCTGTTTTATATTTGCAGCGAGGGCTGCCCAATTGCGGGATTCCCGACTGTAGACTAGGCCTATGCGCTCATAATGCGACAAAACACAATCTACAGCAAAACATTTTAAATAAGCTATTGATCCTCTGTGGCTAAATTATGCTGGTGCAGTATTTTCAGTTATTTCATTTATTTATAGAGACAGGAGTAATTATATAACTTGGCAAATGTATTTCAATGTACCAGCAGTCCTTCCATCAGTCCTACCATCAGTCCTTCCAGCAGTCCTTCCATCAGTCCTACCATCAGTCCTTCCAGCAGTCCTACCATCAGTCCTTCCAGCAGTCCTTCCATCAGTCCTTCCAGCAGTCCTTCCAGCAGGCCTTCCAGCAGACCTTCCAGCAGTCCTTCCAGCAGTCCTACAAGCAGGCCTTCCAGCAGGCCTTCCAGCAGTCCTTCCAGCAGGCCTTCCAGCAGGCCTTCCTGCAGTCTGTGTTTTCTTCCATGCACTGTGCTCTGCCCAAGGCCAAACTCTTCCTATTAGTTATTCAATGGATTGTGGTCAGTAACCCCATATGAGGTTATTGTGTAGGTAGGCCTACTATTTCAATAATATTTAAAATAAGCAAGCAGCCTAGCCTACAATTACGAGAATTTACAAGAATAAATTCAGTAAGTCAATGAAGCCAATAGTGGTTTTAGCTATATTGTTATTGAAATGATGTAGGCCTTATGACCTTTTTAAACAATAAAACATGTGTCAAATGACTTGAGCTCATCAGGTAGGCTATATGCCTAATGTATGTGTGTGTGTGTGTGTGTGTGTGTGTGTGTGTGTGTGTGTGTGTGAGTGTGTGTGTGTGTGTGTAAAGATCTGCATTGCTTTCAACTGCTAGACTGATGATCATGAGCACTCACCTCAACTTAGCTAACATTTTCCAGCCAAAATGTTATATTTTGAAAATCCTAAAACACCAAATTAGGCCTACCTCATTATTAATTAGGCCATCATCACTGTCAATCGTGAATGACAATTCTTCACGTTTTACAGGTGAAACGTCCACGATACATGCATGCCAACCATTTGATCCCAATCAGTTTCATGGGAATATGCATTTCGATCTTCTTGAATGATGTAAGGGTGGCTAACCGGCCTAACTAATCGAATTTGAAAGCAGATGGAGTTGGAATGAGAAGAAGAAACAATCTACATTTCAGCACAATCATCCTAAATTGTCATAATAAATGACATGGTGTTTTCGGTTTAACAGTAGGCTGACATTATCACGCTATTAAATTAGGTCTGTTATGTATAACACAAATTAATCATTAAGTGATCTTGTGAGACACCCGCAGCACTACACCCCTGATTATAACGGTTGGATGACTTCTGGACTTTCACGTAACCACAGCTCTGTTAACTAAGTGGCGCATTCAGTTGACTTTTTTTTTTTTACACCATTGCAGCAGCGCAAAAGATTCGGGGCTGACCCAAAATCCTTTGCGGCTAAAGCACAGAAAGCCAGGTCCTGGTGCCGTCTGTGTGCCCTGTGGGCCCTGGTCAGAAGTTGTGCTCTATAAAGAGAACAGGGTGCCATTTGGGACACAGCTAGGCATTTCCTCCTGGATACCCCAGGATATAAAAAACAAGGCTGGTAAATTTAGTCTTGAGGGAGTGTGTGTGTTTGGATTTGAGCGTAGGCTGACTATAGCTGTGTGTATGTAGGTTCATGTGTCCTTTGTGTGTGTGTGTGTGTGTGTGTGTGTGTGTGTGTGTGTGTGTGTGTGCGTGTGTGCGTGCGTGTGTGTGCGTGTGTGTGTGCGTGCGTGTGTGCGTCTGTGTGTGTATAGTGGTGGATAAATGTGAGTCAGAGAGTGAGGGTGGAAGGACAGTGGAATGCCTGACTGGGGGTCTGGGAGGGGGTGAGGAGGGGAGACTGGGGGTCTGGGAGGGGGGTGAGGAGGGGAGACTGGGGGTCTGGGAGGGGGTGAGGAGGGAGACTGGGGGTCTGGGGAGGGGGTGAGGAGGGGAGACTGGGGGTCTGGGAGGGGGTGAGGAGGGAGACTGGGGGTCTGGGAGGGGGTGAGGAGGGGAGACTGGGGGTCTGGGGAGGGGGTGAGGAGGGGAGACTGGGGGTCTGGGAGGGGGTGAGGAGGGGAGACTGGGGGTCTGGGAGGGGGTGAGGAGGGGAGACTGGGGGTCTGGGAGGGGGTGAGGAGGGGAGACTGGGGGTCTGGGAGGGGGTGAGGAGGGGAGACTCAGACAGTGGAATGCCTGACTGGGGAACTGGGGAGGGGGTGAGGAGCAGGTGAGGAGGGGGGTCTCTCTCTCTCTGGGAGAAATGGGTCAGGTCACTGGTGGGAGGAGGGGAGGGGGGTTCCGCCAAGGATAGATGGGATACTACAGAGATCTTTCTTTGGCCAGTAGCATAGCACAGAAAACCAATCAGAATGAATGCCTAAATTGAATTAACCCTACCCCAAACTCTAACGTTAACCAAATAGAACTAATGCCTGAATTGAATTAACCCTATCCCAAACCTTAACCCTAACATTAGCCATCGAAATGAATGCCTTTCTGTTTTACTTAACCAAGTACTGGAAGGAACACGTTGGTCACCGCCTTTGAAAGTGTGTTGCATTCTGGGGATAACATTTGTCCGACTTGCGCCTACAAGTCAACTCCATGAACATTACAAAAATCATGTGATCGAAGGTCATGAAGTTTTGTCAGTTACTGTTCACTAACTACATCCTGCAGCCATCGCCTTCATTGTGGGAGGCTCTATTGTCAACCAATCATTAGGCTGTTTTGATTTGACCCACGCGAATGTGACCAAAGACATGACTGAAACAGGAACCAATTTGCCGAGATTTATGTGTACGGTGGATATTTACAAATAAATGTGATATTTGAGGCTCTCTCTCTCAATAAGTGATTGTACAATGTACACACACAATATTATATTATTATTTCAGTTTATGAGCGTGTGATATGGGGGGTTAGATACATGTTTTCAACATTATAAAGAAATCCTTTTATAAACAACGTTGCCATGTTGATCTGAACCTTGCTGTTAGAAAGCCACATCAGTGTCTGACTTTCGGCTGTCGCAGATGCACCTCCCCCGACTACACTCCTCAACTTGCTTTAGCCTTACCGCTCATACGCACCCATAGCCTAGACATCTATGATTCAATCAGATTTGGTCTGGTCAGGACTGACCAAATTAGTACTTGTTTGGGGGCGGAGCTGATTAGAATAATACCCAGCATGCTTTGCACGTTTTTTTTGTTTTTACATTTACATGTTGGTCATTTAGCAGATGCTCTTATCCAGAGCCACATGTAATGATGACACTCACCTGTCTCGATCAATGAGAGAAGATTTGAAATAGATAAGACGGCGGCGTACACTTTCTTCGATTACTTCATGGAGCAAAAAGTTGATTTATTTTAATAACAGAGCATTTTCTAAATTCAAACAGACCCCCTGCAACTGGACACAGACATTTTATGAGACTTCTGTTTCCACTAAACTAGAACAAAGACAGTATCAATATAAAGTTAGTTGAAAAATCTCTGCCAACGTTTTGTATAGGCAAACCTCTACCTCTCAGTATAAAGGATAGGAAAAATGTTTGGTTAAATCCCATTAAAATCTGTAGTTACCTCATCTGGTGATTTCACAACATGTGTAGGGGTAACTGGGGTCTTCTGGGAAGGTTCTGTTCCATCCCACTCAGAACCAACACTAGAGGGTCGCCAGCTACCGCATCATGAGAACAAAGTTAAAGTGAGACATGGAGAACATAGTATTGCATAGCCAGGCCAAATGATTTTTGAACAATAATTTGACAGGCAATGTATTCTACTGCTAGAGTTCAGTGGCACTGCCCTCATTAAGCCCATCGGAGCCTCCGGTCCAGGGTGTGAGTGTGTGTTCTTTCACTGGAATGCTTCAGGGGGAACACAGAGTACCTGGCACAGGTGAAACAGGGTAATCAGACATGTGGCAGCAATACAACTTTTGAATGGAGTCCACCGTAAAATCCCAACGAAGAAGAAGAAGAAGAAGAAGAAGAAGAAGAAGAAATCAGACTGCCTTGGGTGTTTCTCAACAGTCCACATCCAATCGTTTCTCCCATCTGCACTCTTCCAATAACACAGTATAGATGAAAGTCATATGCAAACAGCCACTGCAGGGGACATGGTTTGTTGTTCCCATCTGTTTGTTGAAGTGAAATAGAATGGCATTGGGCTAGTACAAAATGTTTGCAATGTAGTGGTAATATTACACAAGCTCTTAATAGATAGTAGCTAAAACATTTCATTGTATGAAAACAAAAACTGCTCTGTGCCAGGAGTGTACTGTAATTAAATCCTGAAGGACCTTCATTGGACAGTCATCTACTGCCGTTACGGCCGGTATGTACTTCCAAAAAAGGTGTAAATAAAAATGCATTGTTATGGACCGGAAAATATACATTAAAGGGATACTTTCTGATTTTGTCAGTCTATGTAACGGTGTTCGTTGCCTTCTATACTCTTGACCTGAACCAGTGTTACATTTACATTTTAGTAGACGCTCTTATCCAGAGCGACTTACAATTAGTGAGCGCATACATTTTCATACTGGTCCCCCCGTGGCAATCGAACCCACAACCCTGGTGTTGCAAGCGCCATGCTCTACCAACTGAGCTACACGGGCAAAGGAGATGATGAATATGACAGATCGCCCAGAAAGTTTCCATTCATCTTCCCATTAGATAGCTCTGCAAGCGTTATGTCAATGAATCCCTTCATCTATTTCCCCAGAGTCTGATGAACTCATGGATACCATTTTTATGTCTCTGCGTCCAGTATGAAGGAAGTTAGAGGTAGTTTCGCCAGCCAATGCTAACTAGCGTTAGCGCAATGACTGGAAGTCTATGGTATCTTCTAGCATAACTTTATTCATACTGGACACAGAGACATAGCATTTTTATTCACCAGTTCATCTGACTCTGGGGAAGTAG